CTCAGAGAACAGCTTGTATTTCAGAAGCCCCCTATTAAGATCTTCTGGGAAGAGGAAAGGGGGAAGATGGGCTCCCAACAAAGCGTAGGGAAAACACCGTAAGACTATATGACCTGAAGCGGACACTGCAAGCTCTCCTAAGATACCGGGTCCTTGGTTTGCCCTGGAGTAAGGACAGACAGAACTGTGCAGGGCCCCTTTAAGAACCTCAGGGTGGGGCTAGGACAGCCTGACCTGCCTATTTAAGCCATCCCTCGGGTCAAACTCTCCACTGCATTGTGCACAGTGCCATTTGGAGCTCTCCCTGGTTTTACTACCTCAGTACTTTCTTCACTTCCTCTGTTCTCCTTGTAGACTCTACCTGGAATAGAGTTCAGCAACTTCTTTTACACGCAGCTACATCTAAGGAAGGGCAGGACCTAAACTTCCCTTTCTGTTCTGGTAACAGTTGCTAGTCCTCATTGTTGTGACAGGAAGGAACATGCCTGAAAGTCTTTGCAGGGGTATTTTCATTATTCAGCTCTTCTTTTTACTAAATCCATCTCACGATTTGGAGACAGGAAAAGACAGAAGGAGGGCCAGAAGGCCTTCTCCAGCTCAGCATGCTTTCGCTGCGCCCCACTTCCTAGACCTGGAATGCATAAAAGGGCAACCAAAATGATCAAAGGACTGCAGCAACTCTTTCACAAAGAAGGGCAAAAACATTTGGGGGCTGTTTGTTCATAAGGAAGATAACTAAGGGGAAGGGGGATGGAACAGAGCAACCTTACTCAACCTTGTACCCTCCGTATATCTTCGAAGAACACTCCCAGGTTCTTGGTAATTGGTCATGCTAGCTGGGAATGATGGGAGGTAGAGTCCAAAATGTCTGGGGAAGACTGAAGTAGAGGTTTGCAGCAGGGGTAAGGAACACATGGCCTTCCAGATGTTGCTGGACTACAACCCCCACCAGTCCTATCCCTGCGCTAAACCTCCGTCTCCGTCTTCCGCAACCTGGGACTTTCCAACTGTACGGACTGCACCTCCTATCATCTCCAGCTGGCTTAGCCCCTGGTGAGAGACGATGGAAGTTGTAGACCAATGACATCCGAAGGTTGACTTGATCCTTATCCTCAATTTAGCACATCATGACCTGTACAGAGAAAGGAGCTTGGGGCAACCTTTTCTCCTTCTTCCAGAGCACTAGGGCTTCAGGTACCCCAGCAAGGCCCCAGGGAGCTGCATATCCTGCACACACACCTAAAAGGAGCCCCTCCTCCATCCAGTGCAGCACCACTACAGGCCAGGCGCACACCCCATCCAAAGGTCAGGATGAGGCAGGAGTCCTGGGCAGGCTGGCTCAGGGCGCTTTTCGTGGTTTCCAGGTGAGCTGCACTGAGTCATGGGGGGGACGGGGGGTGGAGATGCGTCTATTGCCAGTTCCCTGACTCCTTCAGAGACCAACGATGAGTGGCTGTCAATATCTAACTGATGATCATGGGTGGAGAATTCTCAGGGGTAAAAGGTCCCCCCCCCCGAAATGGCTCATTGATTTATCCCGCTCGCAAATTCTTAGAATCATGTTAGAATCTGAGTTGAAATCCATTCAGCAACCAAGTGCGACGTGCCAGTTGACAATTCAGCTTGTGTTTCTTAGCCACGTGAACGTTCAGCGTGGATGCTGCTGTGCTTTTGACCAGTGCCACACCAAGGGCACTGCTTGCCGTCCCCGGAATAAGCGGAATGCGGGGCCCACAACACAGCCATGCGATCCCAAGGCTGTGCTGTGTGATATCTTAAAACACATGCAGAGAAGGCAGAGACGCGACAGAGGTGTACAAAGCTATGCATGGTTTGGACAAAGGGCCAGCTCATTTCCAAGGTTCTCCAGGTTGGTCCTTGCCTGAATCCCCCAGAGGTGCCATTGCAGATCTGTGCAGACAAAACCAGGCCTGATGGACCAAGAGTCCAACTCAGTGCAAGGCTGCTTCCAGTGACAGCAACTGTAAAGTTGCGAAAGCAGCCTCCCCATGCCCTGTGTTGCCAGCAAAGAAATGAAATTGGAGCTCATACGGAAACTTCTCTTCGTCAGGATCTGGGCTGTCCTGCTGGCCAGACCAGAATGACCTCTGCCACGATTTCCGTAGGATCTGCTGCTCATCTCATTCTGCTCTCAAGTGCCAGCGGGTTGCTTTGGAGGAAGGGCTGTATAAGGGCAAGGTTGCGCTTCCGGAATTGGCCTCAGCAACATAGGCCTCCTTGCAGCAGCAGAGCCTGAACCAGGCTGCTCCGCCCGCCGCCTTGCCACCTTCCCTCCTGTTTGCATCCTGCCCGGACTCCCTGCTCCTGGTTCCTGCCACGTGTCCTGCCTACCCAAGGCGGCGTGCCTGAGCTGCACGCTCCTGCAGCTTGTCTGGCGCTTGCTGCACCTGGTCCCTGTTGTCTCCCACACCTTGCCCTGCCCTGCCCCCTGCTGTACTGGGTCTCCCACCCTGTTACCCTGTCCAAGGTACCTGCACCTCTGTGTGCCCCCCTGGTTCTCAACCCTTGACTCGTTCCTGAGCACATCCTGCTTCTGCCTTCTGCATTCTTCTGGCTCCTGACCTCCGCCTGTACCGTGACTGTGGTTTGGACTGGCTGTTCAGCCCTGTTTTTGAACTGTCTTGCCTGAAGCTGTTGCCCTGGTCTTGGGGCCTCTGCTGCTCTTGTCTGGCCTTGTCTCTGGCTGCCCACGTCCCAGCTGTGGACCCAGACACTGCTGGCAAGGTACAAACTCTGCCACGACAAGATAGATGCCCTTAGGAGGAAGTCGTAAAGTACGGACACGACCCTGTTCTTACCTTCGGTCGCTATGTTGATTGCTGCAAGGGTATTCAGCACCTGAGGGAAATTGTCTCCTGTGTACAGATCACGTGCCTCAAACAGCTGCGCAGAGAGAGAGAGAAGAACCTGAGGTCAGTCTTCCAGGCTCACCCTTTTGTAGCCTGAAAACTCAAGAGTGTGACAAGCAAAGTCAACAAAAGCTGAAGCCAAACTGGGGCAAATGCACTTGGTTTCTCTGAGGATCCTCCACATTCAGAGGCTTCTAAATACCAACTACTGGTGGGCAACAGCAATGCAGCCATTTACACACGAACATGAAAAGTTTTCTTATACTAAGTCAGACTGCTGGCCTTCCAGCCCAGTACTGACTGACAGCCACTCCCCAGGGTTTCAGGCAGTTTTTTCAGCCCAGCCTGGACATGTGCTCTCCCCTGCGGTGGAGGGAAGGACGCGATCCAATGGGGCAAAGCTCAAGGAACTGGGTTTCAGGTTGTACATCAGGAAGTACTTTCTGATGGTTAGGGCCCCTAGGGCATGGAATGGGTTTCCACGGGAGGTGGATGAGGCCCCATCAGTGAGGGTGTTCAAGGAAAGACTGGAGACCAACGAGTTGGGGGTTACATGTGCGGAGACGGTTTGTGCTGGGAGTCAGACTAGATGACCCAGGAGACCCCTTCGGACTCTCTATGTGCATCTAGGCAAGTGCTTTTGAGCAATTTGAAGTTTGGGTTTGAATCCTTGTGTATTCAACCAGGTTTGCAGTGCTAAATTGGGAGAGCTCCTGGGAATATCCTTGTCCTCAACCTTCAGGACAGGGAGATATGCTTTACACAGAGAACAGTTGAACCCAGAGAATTTAGCAAGGCTGCACAGCTGAGAATTTAATGTCTTTTCAGTTTTGATTTAAAAACCCCAAGATTTACAAATATCTTCATGTTCAGGGCATAAAGATCTGGAGGTTTCAAACTCTGGAATGCCAGAGAAAGCAAACTTGGCCCATTTCCTCATCCCTATCTGGTACTCAGCAGACTGGTGATGTAGAATCCTTTACAGATGCCCAAGCATGGCGAGATTGGTTTCTGAGCCAAATCTCCCTGCATTTGGCCCCTTTAAAGGATGCCTACATGACATTCCACTGCTCAAGTAGCGTCTTTTTTGTAGGATTCTGTGCATATTACATTGGCTAAATGGAACCCTAACCCTAATCCTACAAAGCAGAGCTGAAATGTTTAATTCACTGGCTAATCGCTGAAAAAATCCAAAAATCCACTTGATCCATAAGGCTTCGCTAACTAATCAGGCAACTTTTTAACAAGTTAATTATTTCTTAATATAAAATCAGTACAATCTGCAGATGGCAGGCATGATCTTAAAATAGGCATTTGCACCTTAATTCTAACACAGAAGGGATTGCCTGTTCCAGAACGGCATCTGCTGAGGCCACCCGAAAGCACAGACAGCCTGTTTCTCTCACTCCCTGCATGAGAGAAGTACTTCGAGTGGCATGCAAAACTCAGGCAGAGCTAATTAATGGATCAGATATGACTTACTTGCAGAACTGACTAGGAATTCTTGAATCCAGTGGCAGCCCAATGTTAGTGCTATGTTTTCTGCTCCGTTCTAAAAGCAACTGGCTACAGTAGATTTGGTGGAAAGCTGGGGGGGGGGAGTTGTGGAGGGGAGAAATGCTTTCCCCGTGTCAGCAGTTTTACAGCTGTACCCCTGAACTGCCAAGTTGCTCTGTGGTTTTGCCCTTGCAGAGCAAATATCACATGCAGCCTATTCAGCAGCCACACAGACACTGCAAGGCCGGCCAGTGCATCACAACACATGTGCTCTCCAGCCAGCTCAGGCCCTGAACTATAATTTAGATGATGAAGGGGGACATTTTTGGACTCCAGTGGCTGCGAACTGTCAAGGGGCCAACGAATTGTGCCAAAATGGGTACCTGGATTACGGGGCTTTTGAATTGTACCTTCTCCTCTCAGTCTCCTGTTTGACTCACTCAAAGCTTCTGGACTGACGATCTGGCACCGATATGCAGCCACGTATCCTCCTGGTTTCTGCTCTTTGCACACAACACCCTACGGTCTGAGCTACATAAGGTTTGTCTGGCAGGGAGTGAAAAGATCTCTTTCATTTTATTCTCTGGAGCCCCATTTAGATCCCGCATCTCCCTCCCTCTTTCTCAAACCTTTCCAAGGCAGCTCCGGAGAATAGCATCAAATACCCGGCCATCAAAACACACCAGACGGAATGCATAAATAAGTGGAAATTATTAATGAAGGGCCTTGTGAAAGAGAAAAATTATTCACCACCCTTCCAAAAATGGGGGAGAGAGGGCACAACAAAGCAGAAAGGGTGGGGCCAGCACATAGAATGCCCTGCCCTTAGTCACTGCCAGCCTGATTTTCCCAGCAGCTGGAAGGGTCATAAAGTTAGAGGTGGTCCTGATCCTAGAACATACAGGACTTTGAAGATCAAATTGCCCCCAGGGTCTTTCTCAGGCTTCCATAGAAGTATGTGCATGTTTGCAGAAGAGCTTTGGTGGAAGCCAGAGCTTAGAGGTTACTGCAGGAAATGCAGGCATAGCAACACGGGTGGTCTCTAAATTCCTTGACAGCCACCCTGGTCCATATAAAACAGACCAACGGACCCACAGACCTGTGGCTAAGACAGACAGCGACTGCCAACTCCTCTGTGGATCGCTTAGCGTTTCTCTCTCCGAGAATGCAACTGATTAGACCTCCGTCTGGCTGCAATGCATGCTAATGGCGTTCCCCCTATTGCTTTAGTCCCTGTACTGGGTGGTGAGGGTGAATCTGGGGAGAAAATGGCCAGGAGGCCATTGTGTATGATTGCGTATGGTGGTCCTAGAATGGCTCCTATGCTAGAGTAATTATGCAAAGCAATTCGGATCCCTTAGATCGGGGTGGGGAAAACTTCTCAGCCCACGGGCTGATTTCGGCTTCAGAACAGCTCTGGGGGGGCATGTTCTGTGGGTGGGTGGGGGGGGCTGAAGGCAATGGAGGGGGGGCCAAAGGCACCATGGGTGTGGCCCAAAACAGCAGCCTGCTCTAAAGCTCTTGCTACCCAGGAGCTCAGCCTAAGGGAATCCTTTCAACCTTCCAGGGGGGCAGGAAGCCCACTCAAAAAATGAGCAATCACCACAGTGGGGGAAAGTGGGTGAGGCCAGGTGAGAAGTGCTGGATCGGGACCACAGGCAGGTTGAGCTGGTCCCTGCTCTTGGGCTTCAACCCTTCAAACTTACACCTTCCCTTCCCCCAGAGTAAGATACAACATATTAGCAAGCTTTCAACTTTGCAGACTGCTTTTCTCTTTGGCTCCTTCTTTCTGGGAACTTTGCATTTTTTCCTACCACAGCTGTTGAAAGACTTTGCCTCTTTTTAGATCATTGCCATGTGCTACAAGTGGGGGCACTTTTGAAGCCACCCAGAGGTTTCGCTGAATCCAAAAGAGAGCAGCTGGGACTGGGAGGCACGGTGGTTCCACACATGGAACGCAGCATCTTGTTTAACCTCCATATTCTGAAGAAAAAGTTCGCCCACAGCGTAAATTTGCCCTTTTTGTTCAGAAATCCTGGGAAGACATTCTTGCTTCCTAAATTTAAAACTGATTGGGGCACTACAGAGAGCCTAACAAGAAGCAACATCAAATTTCACCCCTGCCTCTGATAGACACCTAAATGACAAAGATGTTGGTCAGCCCTGCGGATTCTGTCTTCAGAAATGATCCGTAAGGAACTAGCACCTGGGAACTTTCCTGAAAGCCCCCTGCAAGGCGACTTGCATGTAGGGTTGGATGCACCTGGTGGTTTTGAAAAGCACAATCAAAATTCCACACAGTGAAAAATAATTCTGTAGTTTCGCTTATCTACAGGGTGGAAGGAGGCATACTGTTACGTATCCTGTATCATCTGTTCTGCTTCTGCAGGTTTCAAGCTTTTCTTTGCATCCATAAGGGCTAGAAACATATGACCATCACTGCCACCATTATTGCTTTAACTGTTCAGATATTTAAACTCTGTTCCCAATTCCAACACACACACACACACACACACACACATCAATTCCTCCAGAGCAAGCTCTCCCAAGAACAAATCAAAGGGCAGGCTTGGATGAAACTTATTTCTTTCTGTTGCAAGAATCTTCTGCTCCTCAATCTTTGTGCAGGCACCATGAAGGGTGGCTATCTGATCACTAAGCAGCTCAGTTCATCTTGAGAATTTTAACCAATTGCATCAGCATCTAGTTACATTTATTAACTTCTTCACTTGCAATCCACCTTTTTCCCTCTTGCCAGGAACCTAGAGGGGCTTCCATGGCGCTCCCCTCCCTTTTAATCCATTTCCATGTATACATAAGAATAAAGCACAGGATTTCAGAGTCGGGGAGGCACCGATCTCCTAGGAGCCCTCTTACTAAAGCATGCAACCCAGCAGCCCCACCTCCAAAGAGGCACCTCGTCTCGCAATATTGGGATAACAGTCATGGTGGCAGTGATGATGATAAGTTTCTAGCCCTTATGGAGACAAGAAAGAGCAACGAGTGCCGCTTCTTTTTCCTTCCTTCACACTCACACTGCACAAACTGCTCTTAGAAAAGGTGCCGGTCGTCCCTGCACCAATCCTGATCTATCTACACCCCTGCTTTGCTTTTACCAATTCTGCGGCCTCTGCTGCAGCCCTGATGGGCGCAGAGAATGCCTCTTCCAACCTGCCACTGGCCAGCTGCAGGTTTACTAAGAATATCCATGGGAGAATGTGAGTGAGTTACCGCCCGATTCACCGAGAAGACCTTCCCAGCAGAGTGAAGGCACCATCCTGGGAGCGCTTAGCTGGAGAAAAGTGGCAGCTCCCGGCATGTGCCCGCCAGCAGGGTCGGCCACACACGCGGGGAGCCTGGGCCCTTTTACTAACCTGCACAGGATTGCGTCCTTGAAGGCTTTTAGTGGATTGCTCTGGCTGATAAAGGAGCAGAAGCAGTGCTGGCAGAGCAGTGAAATTATGAGCTGGACACAGAGACCAGGCAGGCTCAGAAGCTCCAGAAAGGAGGGGAAGAAACCGGGAGGCAGCATGCCTCCATTTTGGGGGGCGAAATATCCCGACCTTATACAGCAGTATACAAAAAGCCTACTTTGATCTACAAGGGCATGTAATGGGCAGAGACCGGCCCCCCCCCGCCCCATTTCAGCAGGTCAAAAAGGAAATCTAAACCAGGCAGGCGAGTTTGTAAACTAAGCCTTCTCCAACCCATTGGTGAGCTCCAGAGGCTTTAGACTACAACTCCCATCACCCCAGTTGCAGCACCCAATGCTCAGGTGAGGTAAGAGGTGTCGTGCAAAACACCTGGAGAGCTCCCAGCCCTCCGTGTTGAGGGCAGCCCCGGTAAGCCAGGTCAAAACAAGCCCCAGTTTGCTTCCTTTTTGCGCCATCTTCACTTCCCGACTGGAAGCTCCCCGGGCAGGGATGTGGGCGGGGTGGGGGAGGCCCCTGGTGCTGCGAGGTGCAGGCAGTGCACGGGGGTCCCCGGGAGCGCGCCAGGCCCCCCCGCTCCGGCGTTCCGTTCACACGCCGATCGAGTCGCTGACCCGGGAGCCGCGCGAGCTGGACACGGCTGCAGCGCCCGCCCCTAGCCCATGGTCCCCAGCAACGGGCGTGCCACGGGCCGGCAGGACGGCAGTCCACGATCGCCCGTCCGGCGTGCGGTGCCCGCCCGAACTGGCGCCCACCCCGCGCCGCGGCGGGCGAATCGGACCGGGCTCCCCCGGGGGCCACCCAGACCGCCAGACGCGGCGAGCCGGGGGGCGCAGCCCGCCTGGGGGCCCTCTCCCCTGGCGTCCCCGGGGGCGCGCAGCGCGGCGGGCTTGCGGGCGGACGCGGGGCGAGGGGGTCGCGGGGCGGCGAGCCGCCGGAGGGCCGGCCGGCCGACACTCACCGGGCTCGGGGTGTCCGCCGCGGCCGGCCATGGCAGAGGCGGAGGCGGCGGCGGCCCCGCTGGGCTCGGACGGAGGGCCCAGACGGCGGCGCCGCGCTCTGACCCGGAGCTGGATCGCAGGCGGGCGGCGCAAGGAAGGGGAAGTGACAGGCAGCCGCGGCCGGGCTCGGGAGCGCCCCCCCCCCCGCGCAGGGAGTGCTCGGCGCGCCGCGGCGAAGGCGGCCGGCGGGGAGCGCCGCCCCCGCGCTGCGGCGCTGAGCGTGTGCAGAGTGCCTCTCAGGCAGCCTCAGCCGGCGGCCTGATGGCATGAAAGGAAGCTGCCGCTGCCCGCTCCGCCCCCCGCCCCCCGTGATCACTCCGGTGTAGCAGTTAAGGATGATGGGGCCGGGGCTGGGAGACCCTGACTCAGGACTCTGCCATGCGCGAATTGGGCCAGGCACCGAATAAATAAATATATAAATGTTCTGTCTATTTCCCACCCTGTCCTACTTCGCAGGGCTGCTGTGAGGATGCAAGTGCGGGAGAGTAACGCGAGTTACGGCGGGTTCCTTGCGAGAGCAAGAAGGGCTGGACAGAAATATAAGAGACGGGCATGTCGGGGTCTAGCTGAGCGTGCCCCTCCCCCTGCCCAAACTCGGAGGGGTTGGCTGAAGCCCTGAGCACGGCCAGCCAGGGAGGGCTGGCCAACCCCCCCCCCACCTCCCCTCCACGTTTCAGCACAGTCCAGTGCTGGGGAGGAGAGCCGGGTGGCAGATCGCCAGCGTGCCTTGCGCCAACAAGGGAGGGCACCCTTTGTCTCTGGAGCGGTGCCCCCGCCTGCCTCCTGATCCTCGCCTAGTGGGACAGGCGGGGAGAGGTGGCTCCAGGAGCCGCACAGCAGGGAGGGTGCTGACCTGGAGGGCAGGACTGGACCCCTGCAGATCACGCTTTGTGAAACACCGAGCCCCTTTCCACCCCATGTGCTTGGACCCATTTATGACTATCCAGAAATTAGGGAGTAGGTGGGATATAAATACATATAATCATGTATACTGAATAATTTGCAGTTCTTTGTTCTTATCTTGGATAGTACTAAGAAATGCCAAAGAAAAGAGTGCCTCTGAGTTCATGCAGATTTCCCGAGGGCACCCATAGCCAATTTTGAAAGTATCCTCCACCAGCCTGCAGGTTCCATCATTGCCAGCCATAAGGGGTTGCAGAGCAACCATCTGGAGGGGAATCAGGTCGGGGAAAGCTTTTCAAAAGGCACCTGGGACTTGGGGAGGCCTTCCCATGCTGGTTTGCATGGATTTCTAACAAGCCTGCACAAGCCAGTTTGTGACCAGTCATGCTCAGTCAACCTGGTTGCTGCTGTCATGCCAGCATTTCTCATGGATGGGTGAGGGGGAGAGATGAAGACTCGCTTAATGCCTCTTGGAAGGACTGCTTCAATACTGCAGGTTGTCTCCCAAGCACCCACTAATGACAGTGGGATAAAATCCAGGCATCTACTCCTCGAGCCCCTACCTTGGTGCAGAAATCTCATTGCATTCCAAAATGATTGCCGCAATACCGATCACACTCAGCTGCTAAATTGAGTTTCCACATCCCCCACCCAATACTTCTGGTTTGAAGAATCAACTGTCCCCCCCACACACACACACACAGATGGCGCAGGGTGGGAACTGCCATATGCAGCTACAACAGACGTCAGTTCTTCCCTTCCTCTCCCTTGCCTTCATGCTTGCAAGTCCGGTGGAAAGACCAGCAAAACCAGCATTTCTAAGGATAAGCTAGACCAGGCAGGTGGGGCAAGGGGGGGACATGACCCGCATGATGGCGATGTCGCAACACATGGGTGCAAAGCAAAATTTGCAATTCTGGGCCTTAGGCAGCTGGACTTGAGAAGAACTGGGTTAGTTCCCAGGGGTCCATCTGAGAACCTGTTTGCTCTGCAGGGCCAGCCCAAACTGGTTTGCTGCCTGGGTGAAAGACATCGTGGCTTGCTCCCCTCTCAGCCTGGAGATGGCTCCTGGGACCCAGTTCTCAGAACTCCTTGGGACAGCATAGAAGCATAGAAACAGAGCGAGTCAGAAGGGGCCTCCTGGACCATCTAGTCTGACCCCTGGCTCCAGCCGGCTCTGCTCACGACATGCCCACCATGTGCATGTCCAGCCTATCCTTGAACACCCGCACCGATGGGGCCTCAGCGACCTCTTGTGGAAGCCCATTTCACACCCTCGGGGTCCCGACTGTCAGGAAGTGCTTCCTGGCATCCAAACTGGACCTTGGTTCCCTGAGCTTTGCTCCAATGGAGCGCATCCTGCCTTCCTCTGCAGGGGAGAACAGGTCTCTACCCACCTCTGTGTGACATCCCCTGGAATACCTGTATGTCACCATACAGCAAGCAGGGCAGACTCTACCCCCCAACCTTGATGGCTGCCCCCAACTTTTGCACCAGAGTTGGCTGTCCAGCTCTTTATCGCCAGCATTGCCCCAATGCCAGGGCCCTCGCATGGTTGATTCAGCCCCTTGGTCTGCCAGATGAAAGAGGAAAAATATTTTCTGCCCTGAAAAGGCTCCAAGAATTTCTTTCAGTGGTGCTGCTGTTGCTGACCTTAACCACACTTCTCCGAATTACTTTACGCAGGCATTTCAGGCTCACTGCACTCAGGGTAAAAATCCGTTCTAAATGTTCCCCATTTGGGTTTCAGTTGTACAGTTAATTTTTTGCATGATTTTGCTCCCCTCCCCATTACTCTTTTCTTTACTTTTTAAAAGCATGCTACTGCTAGGTTGTTTAGCCCAGGGGCGGGGGGCATTGGGCTTTATTGCACAAAAGGAATTTTTGAAATTAGACCTCATCCTGAGCCTGCTCAAGACATCTTCCAAATGGCTTCTCTCGGGCACAGTTCTAAATGATTAAATATCATGGAAAGGCGCCTGCTGCATCAGACACGAAGCTTTTTCAGATCAAGGGCTGAACCCAGTGTTGGAGAAGCTTTTGGGGGCTGCATCTGGCTGGGGCACAGGGCCGGAGGGGTAGGGCCCAATACCCAAATGACCACCCTCTTTGTGGGTTACCCTTCTACTGCCAGCAACTAAGAGAGGCATTTCATCCCTCTTGGGAAAAGTAGGAAGAAGGGCAAAAAACAGTGCAAAAGCCCAGAAACCACCCAAATAATCCATGGTCACAGATCCCCAGGGAGCGAGGGAGGGAGTTTCAACAGCCGTGGATTCACAGATCTGGGAATCAAGGTTGGGGAAACAGCCGTGCCTGGGGGAGATCTCTGGCACGTACCTCAACTCCAGTTGCTGCGCACCCGTTGAGAAACTCTCTGATGTTTCCAAGGCAGTCAGCTTCAGTCTTGGGCTCCAGGCAGTACTAAAAGAATCCAAGCCGAACAAGACACATCTCATGAGGATTGCGACAGCTCCTGCCAGGGTAGCCCTGTTTTGTTCCCAGTGAGCCGAGGGGGATATTAGACAGTGTGTTTGTAATACTGAACGAGGAAGCTCCGCATTGGGTGGATTTTTCACAAGAAAGTGGGCTGGGGTGGGGGGAGGCAGGGAGGGAAGGAACCTGCAGGCAGGCAGGCAGGCAGGCAGTTAACCTGCGCAGAATGAGCAAAGCCAACGAAATGAGTGAACCAAAAAAGAGATGCGGCTGGCATTGCCGTTTGAATGCCTGGGGAGGGTGACACGGCCCTTGAAGATTCTGCTGCCCACGCCTGAACTTCAGGGTGGGGGGGTGAGAAGGGAAGAGCTCCTTCTGTAAAAGATGGCTGTTGAAGGTACCATCAGCGGCTGCCTTGTCCCCAGGCAGCCCCTTGATCCACCCAGCCTGGTATTTCTGGCACAGACCGGCAGCAGCAGTTCTCTGGGCTTTCAAGCAGGGGCTTTTCCTGCCCTAACTGGAGTTACTGGGGACCTTCCCCAAGTCCAGTGGGGGCTGCACCATTGAGATGTGTTCTCTCCTTGCAAATGCATGGGGCTGGCTTTGAAGACAGCTCAGCAAACTGCAGTTACCCCGCAAATACAAGCAGGGGGTTGCTGGCTTGGACAAGACCAATGGAAGGCGTCTCACCAGTGCAGAAACCATTCCGCTGGCTTCTGGTCCATTTCCAAGTGGTTTTGCCAGTTGCTGGGAAACTGCCCTGGAAGAAAGCCCTGATCTCACCTGGGCATTGGCTTTTTCCAGAGCCACTGTGCAAAATGGAAGCTGCAGGACCAAACAGGCCTGTGGTCTGGTTCCCCAGGGCCATCTGAGGCAGAAACGGCTTGGGTCCTGGTTACCTGAAGGAGCGCTTATGTCCATATATGCCCGCCCGCTCCCTGAGATCTGCGGGAGAGGCCCTTCTCCGGGAACCCTCTGTGAAGGAAATTAGGAGGGTAAGTACTCGGAGGAGGGCCTTCTCTGCGGTGGCGCCCAATCTATGGAATGCGCTCCCCACAGAGGTCCGCCTGGTGCCATCATTATTTGTTTTTCGGTGCCAGGCCAAGACCTTTTTATTCAAATGTCATTTTAACTGTTAATAGTATTTATTTATTTTATTCTTTGGCCAGGGTGACTTAATTTATACTGTTAATTTACATTATTTTAACGAAGTTTATTTATGTTTGTGAGCCGCCCCAAGGCTTCGGCGAATGGGGCGGCATAGAAATTTCCTAAATAAATAAATAATCCACATTTTGGCTCTAAACTTGTTAAGTCCTGGGGCCCAGACAGATGGCCATGTGTCTACCTTAGAGAGGACAAACCTCTGTTTGAAGGGCCAGGCAACAGTTCTGTATTCAACGATGTCCCTTTTGGACAGGTAACAGGATAGGTGAGCAGGCTTCCTACTCACCTGGTCAGACATCCCACCATGGTGAGCTGTATTGTATTTCTATCTAAAATAGAATTATTACTGCAAAATGTGCACCTATAGATAAATATTTGTACAAAAGGGAGTCTCCTTTCACCTTCTTTATTGGTGATGCATTTCTGTCCTGGCAAAGGATCTGATGGACACCTCCAACCTCCAGCTCCCAAGCTGAATCCACTTCAGTCACTATCTCTCCTTTTAGTTGATTGAACCTCCGAGTTTACTTCTTGTTAGGCTGTTTCAGATTTTCCTTGGGCAAATTCCCTTGCCCTGGGAATTTGCTTGGAGGGTTGGGTAGAAATTCCCTTGACAAAGCAAACACTTGCATCATTGGTCGAGGTCATTTCCTCAGCCTGGGCTATCCGAGATTAGAAGTCTGGTGACCTAGGAAGGGGCCTTTGGAGCTATAATGGGATTTATGCCAGGTCCTTTGGAGAATTTGCCATAAAACATATAGCTTTCTAGGTGTCAGGGCCTTTTTATTTATGTTGCCGTTTTAAAATATTTAATTCATTCGAACATGGCTAGTTCTGTTTCTTCGGTTCAGTTGCTGGCATCGCTGTTCGCCACATTCCTGGTTAAGCATTGCCTTCCACTGCCACGGCATATGGCTTTAATCAGAGCGCTTTCCGCTCCCTCCCTCCTGTGGACATGCAGTGCCTTGTTGCCTATGCTTTTCAGCTGCACGTGGAGCCTTTTGGCCGCAGAGTGGACTAAAAATGCAAGAAATACACCCATTTATGTGTAAGCTCCTTTAGAAGAGGTCTTTTTTTATTTGTCTTAAGGAAAAGTCAGCTTAAACTTTTCCAGCAAATGTATACAAAGAAAGCTGCCTTAAACAAGCCAGACCTCTGGGTCTCCCATGTCAGTATGGTCTGCAAATGCACTGGCTTGCAGTAGTTCAGTGGGGCGCTAGGCCCGGATCGAATGGTCAGGAACACTGGGAGTTCTAGCCCAAAACACTGGGACGGAACCAGGTTGGTGAAGGTCAGGTATGAGACTCAGGATCACATCCCAGCTGATGGAGCGACCTGGGGACAAGTGCTCCAATTTCAGGCAAACTTCTGCCACAAGAGTGTTGTGAGGGTAGATGAGAGGGGGACTATGGAGACCACATCTCAGACCTGCTGGAGGAAAGACGAGATGGAAGCCCAAAACTAAAGATAAAGCCAATAGACTTAGGATGCATGCAGAACGTGGACTCTTCCACTAGGCAAGCTTATAGGAATGGACCTATGAGTGGGGTGTGCTGATGCGAGCACTGGATTAGGAGTGGGGAGTTCTGGTCCCCACGCAGCTGTGGAGCTGACTGGGTGACCCTGGCCAGACGGTCACTCCCTGCCTCATATACCTCACAGGGTTGTTGTTCTGAGGTGGAGTGGCAGAGAACTCTGCAGTCCATCTTCCAAGAGAAAGAAAGAGAGAATATAAATGTAGTATAGTAACAACAACAACTCTGGGAGAGATACAAAGAGTCCCTTTTCAAAGGGAAGGGATGCAAAAGACTCCTTTACCCTTATTCCACCCGAACACAGAAAAAGCACAGATGCTCAGCCACCCCTTGCCAACCTGGAGGCTCCTGGCTACATTGCTCTACAAGCCCATCATCCCCAGCTTTCATAGCCCATGAGGCACCATGCAACAGCCTTGTCAGTTGCAAATCTTTCATTAAAAGCTCACAGGCACAGGGCGACAAAATTTTAGAAGTCACACATGTTGCTCAAGCAAAGTTCCCAGGAGATGGGTGGGAAAAGGACCAGCAGGGCTAACAGAACTAGCATGCCATGATGTGAATTTCTGTCTCAGGCCCTTCTGTCCTTTTATGGAACAACTCAAGACTATGAGCTGTGCTTGAAGCATACGTGCAGCCTGCTAAAGACATTTTGCTGAGAAATGGTTCCCTTTTTATTTTTTGAAAGTAGGAAGGAACGTGGAAGGCATGGGTAGACGTAGGAGGGAGATGTTGACTTTACCAGTCTCTGAATGTGGTTTGTTTTGTTATTCTTCGCTCTTTCTTTCAGATCTTCTAGCTTGCAAATGTGTCTGGTTTGGACTGTTCTTGGTCCATATCTCAAATGCTCACTCTGCTGTGTGGCATATGCTATGCAGCGGCCACGGGGCAGAGGGGGAGTCTCTTTCAGTCCGAGGGCCAAATTCCATTTGGGAACAGCTCCCAGGAGCCCTGAATTCCAGAGATACATGGAGCAAAATGCAGAAGGGGTGGACCAAAGAAGAGCCGCATATTTTAAGGCTTTCACTGCCCTGAGAGGCATTTCTGCCTTTTATGATACAGAAGAGAGAATTCCACAAAAGTGAGGTAATATTATCAAATAATCTGCTGCACTGGCAGTAGTGGGTGAATCTGGGGAAGAGACATGGCCCTTTGCCGGGCAAGTCAGGTTTGGTCCCTGGCCTTGAGTGTCAAGATTTCGAACTTCTATCTCCTTCCCACATGAGGCATAACAACAGGTCTTTTTTGTGAGCTGTCTTTCTTTGCGTTCTCTTCATTTGTTTCCACTGTAGCAGCTAAAAGATCTTGCGGTGCTTTGTGCCGGACTAGGGAAACAGGTTCTGTGAGGCTGTTTTTGAAAAAGCCCCAGAAACTGCAGTTACTTCAAAATAGAGAAGATAGATTGTTAACTGAGACTGGCTAATACAATCATATTATTCCAGTGCCTTCCCATTGGGAGTGAATACCAGTCTGTTTGCATGGCCAGTTCAAAGTGCTTGTATTAAATTTTAAAGCCCAAAAGAACTAGGTTAGGTAACTAGGAGGGTCTCGTGACTGCATCTTCCTGCTTCTTCTAGGGTGGGCGAGCAGCTCTAGAGCTTACTGATTGCTCTGCACTTAAAACCACAAACCGGATGAATTTTTCAAAAAAAAAAAAAAAATCACCAGAAACATGACTTTGTTGCCGCCGGAGGAACAGCTTTGTGTGCATTTACAGTCACAGCGTCTGTCTTTTGAGTGTGCCTGTACAAGTAGAAAGGGGAAGAGCTTTTCTGCTGGATGTTTTGCAATAAAGTTATCTTGCAGCAGAATGAGACAGGTGGAGGGGACTGAAGGAAATGCCATTTTGGACTATTTCCCTTGTAAAAAAAAAATCTTGCAAATAATGGAAGAACCAAGTGGTGAAGTACACTGGGTAGAAAACTTGTAACTCAAGTTCTTTGTCAAACTTGCTTTCTAGTTGTGATGTTGTATTTCAAATGCAGGAAAGAATTCAGACATGTGATCCCATGGCCTGCAGTTTGAAGTAGCAACAGTTGACTGCACTTCAGGACTCTTTCACTTCCTCATTCCCACACCATTCTGCTCAATATATGGAGCAGAAAACAAATTGTTTGGTGCAGCACTGTCAAAGACCGTAGCCATCTTCTTACCTGTGTCTTTTGAGAGCAGATGTTAAGTGGAATTAAGGCTCACATGACCCTTAGACACCCATCTTTTAGTGTACACATATGGTGCAAATAAAGCCCATGCGCCCCAGCACACCACTTTGGCTAAAGCTGAGGATGCATTTGAAGGTAGACCACTCAAGTGTATAGTGTACTTGCTTGGCTGGAAACACACTAGATATAAAAATCTCTGTGCAAGGAGCCCATGAACATGATTAATAAAGATTTTTTGAAAGTGGACTATTTTGAGCACCGTTTGATGGGAAGGCAGGCCTGAAATGTAAGAAACCATTTTTGTGACTCATTGTGGAGCACAAGTAGGACACAGCTTGCGAAACCTTTATTTAGACGTGCTTGCTGCTACCATTGCCTTCTCCCTGGTGTGGCTCCTTTGCCTTTTGCAACACACAGGCCATTTAATGGGTAAAAAATTCCAAGCACATATACCACCCCATTCTGTAGCAGAGCAAGTTCAACGAGGAAGGCCACCCAGTCATCACACAGAGCAGCAGCTCCAATTTTTCATCTTTCAGCTGCTCCACAAAGTGCAAATAAGCCTTCCCCCTTTCAGATCTGCAGAGGAGACAAGCTATCAGCTCCCAAATTATCCTGGTTGGTTAGTCAACCTTGGCCACCGCCCCACCTACTGGCAACTTCATGAATAGCTTTAGCATCACTATGCCACAACTGGGCCTGGGGTTCGCAATGCCTGCCACATTCACAACAGGATCTGGAAGACTGATCAGTTATACTGGTATCAACTTTGGTACTTAGTAACCCATTGCTGCAGTAGACTAAAACAACTGCATCTCTGAAAATTCATTCTTGCCAAGGAGTCAGTTGGTCAATAGGGATGGACTCGAGCCCATCAATAATCCCTAGTCCTCACAGTGGTTTTGCTCACTGCCAACTCTCAGCCCAACCCACCTCACAGGATTGCTCCAAGGGATTGCATATGCTGCCATGGGGAAAGGTACCATATTGCTGTAATTTGTCCTAATATTCTTCCTATCTTGTGTGACTGGAACCCCATAAAGAAATGGAAGCACTAACAAGTTGGCTATGCTGCACATGCACTCACTCTCCAAGCTCATCCTTTGCACCACTAAGAATACAAGGTATTTCAGGAGTTCCTGCTTGAAACCTTCCCATTAAGGTTTTTTTTCTTTTTGGACCAAAGCAGCAAGACATGTTTGCCACAGGTGGTCAAGCCCATTTTAAAAAATCAATTAGTACTACACAGCAAGCAGCTTTGGTACAATAAATCTGCAGTCAAATTATAATGGGCATAATTCCCACTCAAATCACTGGAGCTGGCTTCCCGACACATGATTGCACTGCATGCGTTGAAGGATAAGCCATAAACACTCCAATGAACTACAGGCACGTTCCATCACCCATCCTGCATACACGACTCAGCTGCTCAACACCCGAGCATGCACAGCAAGTGAACATTTAGACAGAGTGCTCCTGCAAATCCAGCAAGGTATCCAGGAAACTACATTTCCAAAGAGGTACTACCTTGCCAAAGGATAGGTGGAAAGCAGAATTCTCTTTTAAGGACAAAGAATTATGAAATAAGAAAACAAGGAGTTTAACACTTTATTTAGACAACTGATATGACTACAACAATCTTGATTCCCGGGCCTTCCACTTGCAATCATCTGCCACCATTTGGGGACTGGGAGTTTGTGGCTAAAACACATATTCTTGCCTGTTTTGAGTACGTTTGCAGCATGAATTCATGTCTTGCAGTGTCAGACTTGACCTAGTCTGCAGCATTATTCTTTAAAAGACTGTTTTAGTATTCTGAATGCTTTACATCTATGCAAGATCTTAACCTTCATCTTACCTGTACTTTATCAGTCTTTTTTCACTTCTTGATATAATCCTGACTTAATACTGTGGAATGTGGTTCCTGGAGAGGTGTGCCTGGTGCCGTCATTATATACTTTTCGGTGCCAGGTCAAGACCTTTTTATTTCATCAATATTTTAATGTTAATCAATTTTAATTGTATATCTATTTTAACCATGTCATTTTTATGCTCAGTTCATGGTATAGCCAATATATTCTGTTTGGGATTCATAATATTCTGTAAGCAGTCCAAACATGAGTGATGGATGGCCTATAAAGCTCCTGAATAATACTATCAAAAACATGCTTAAACTCTTGCTAAAATGCCACTCTAAATGCTACTATTTAATACAGCTTTCTGGAGCTGCGTCCAATCTCTGGGACCTTCCCTGAGTGTCAAGTGAGGGAGGGGGGCAACAAGACAACTTCTCTGGGCTTCCCTCACCCTGAACAACCTTCACAGGGCAGCCTATCCACTGCCGAATGTGTCACCTTTTGGATCCAGGATAAAATGTCCCTTTAATCCTGAAGCCTGAAAGGCTTTGCTTGGAAACTTTATCCAGGGGTTTGAAAAGAGTATTCATCAAAGTTGTTTCTTATGCTGCCATTCTTTACTGTTCTAAGCTTTCTAATGTTGCTTTGTTTGTATATTCTTGACTTGGTTTTATGAATTTTGTAAACCATCTAGAAAGCTTTGGCTACATTGGTAATATAGAAATGCATTATCATCAACTAAAACCTCAATCAACTGGACTTTTTTCAATTCTCCTGCATCTTTGTGGATCACATCCTGGCTGCCATGGTTCAAGTACCATGAGTTGGGTCACTCTCTCAGATGATCTCTTCTGCATGTTAATACAGAAGGATACTAATTGGGACTTGCTGCTGCCAGTAAATTTTAAGTTACATGCAGCCAGTACAGACACACTGTACATCTGCAGGGTGATAAGAATGGAATTTGAAAGGTGGATAATTTCTATCCAACTGTTTTGACATTTAGGTCTCCTCTTGTCTTGTGAGCAGCCAGGGCCCATAGCCAAGACAGACAACTGACATTTGAGATCTGCCTTCTTTCAAAAATGTCTTCCATTAAACATGGGCAACTCCATTCTCCATAGGCATCCACTCTTCAAATCAGCCACAATTAATCCCAGACCTAGAATACAAAAAGTAATATAAGCAAAGTGCATGAAAATGTAGTGAGTAGAAAGCTGCAATCAACTCACTGAATCAGCTTTGAGGTTACTACCAACCCAAAAAATGGTCAGCTAGATGCAGGACCAGAAATTTTAAGACAGAATGCTACACAACTCTTGCTCTTGAAGTATGACTCGAAGTGGGCATATTGTGTGTGTGTGTGTGTGTGTGTGTGTGTGTGTGTGTGTGTGTGTGAGAGGGGGGAGGAAATGGCGCTATCCCATTTCTTGTACTGCATTATTTCCCAAGATAAAAGAATTCCATATTCAGGATCTTGATCTAGGTGGTACAGCATGGCTGCTTACAGTCCCTCAATTTAACTATGGTGTTCAGTTCTTCCTAGAAGAATACTTCTAACACCCTGACCTGGGCATATTTCAAAGCAGCTTCCAGAAGAGATTTCCCACTATTAAGGGTATTCAGGTATCAGTGCAACATCAGTGAACTAAGAGAATGCTTACCCTCCTACACCACCACACACTTTCCCACTCCAAAGTTAGGAAGCAACTCAACCCAACAGCCAAAACAAACACTCATCCAAAGTGACTAGATGAGCCACAACCTCCAGGTTACCATATCCAACACTGACTCCAATCATTACATAAGCTTGTGTTCACATGAGCAGCACCTGTACTTCAGTTTCCAAATTAACTGGTATATACTGCGTTTTCCTGGAATGGAGGTCTACACTACAACTACATTGGCTGTTATTGTATTGCTCTTGGGACTTAAAAAAACGGCACATGTACCCTCTTACAGAGGTTATATGCAGAAAATGCATTTTCAAAGTGGGATGGTTATCAACTCCAAGAGCTCAGGCAACATCTTGAAGGTACCAGTATTTTTAAGTTGCCTATGATTTAGTCCAAGTTAAACTTCTCTTGCAAAAGATTAAGCTGAGCAATTGACAGAGCACAGAAAGCCATTGATTAAAGCTTACCTGTTTTTCTTTAACATGCACATCATCCACTACCAATGCAGGCGCACACTGTACTTGAGGTTACATCATCTTAAAGGCAGTGGTCAGCCTGTAACAATTAAAGTAGGCATGAAAATCATGTTAACCAAGTGCCCAAACCCACAACCATCCCCCGAAACAAATTGAATAGTCCTGGGTTTGCCGATTAATCAGGTTCAAGAACTAACTCTTTAGTTTTGAGAGGTGGAAGGTTCACTGGATTGGAATGAACTGGAATGGCTTAGTGATAAGTCGCATGGCTTATGGATTCTTATTTCCTTTCCAATGGTGCGTTTCATGGTAAATCCATAACTTGACAGGTAAATATGTTTTGAGGATTATAGAAGAACATTAGTTGGAGGTCTTCAAGTCTTACTACATTTCAAGAGCATCTTTGAACTTCCCGGCTGTACCTGGGTCATGACAACTTGCCACAGGTTCTGCCATTTGTATCAGAACTCCCCACACAAGACTACATAGCATAAAGGAAGAAAAGTCAGGCATCCAACTAAACATCAGGATGTATTAATGGCTTGCTTGACATTCCCCAAGCTGGTATAGATTTTGGCAATTTAAGCCAATTTCTGATTGTTACGGTTTTAATTTCTTAAAATATAGGACAGACAGCCTGTTTTCTTTTCTTGTTACTTTTAAGTATCTTCATAGAAACACATTGGGCAAAAAAAAAATCAACCCCTCCCAACCCTTTATGGGAATGTCTACGTTCTTAGTATCATTTTTCAAAAGGTTTGTGCCATATATACTTTCATCCAAGATAAGGTTATGTTGAATTTGGAAGGCTTCGCCTAAGGCTATCCAGCACAGTTTTTCCATTGGGTGCTGCTTTCTTTAAAATCTAGAAAGAACTTCCATTGCCATGATGTACAGCATGTCCTACCGTACTAAGGACGACAGTTTTGGTTTCATGTTTGACTTAGACTGAAAAACTAGTTTGCTTTGCTTACCATCTTTGCTGTTTCACAGGCATTTGATGCTTTAAATCTGTTGTGGAATGCTGAAAGTTTCACTTGTTTATAAGCCTTTCAGAAGTTGGAGAGAAAGACTTCTTTGCTTATCTTATTTTCTCCATTTTGCCTTTGGAGTCAAAGCTGTTCCTTTAAAAATGAGACACTACAGGGTTGCAAAAATTTGAAACAGTAAGAGCAAGTATGGTTTTGCAGCTTCTTTGATGGAACTGGTCAAACCTCTTACTTACAGAACTCTGTAGCGTGCGTACTACAGGTTAATTATGTAATTTGGGAGTGAGGTTCTTGTAAATTCCCAATGAAATACGTAGAAAGGCACTATGTACATTCAGCATTATCCATTTGTTGTTTTGATTTAATGACTGAATGGTATCCTGAATTTTTACACAAGACTGAAGACATTTCTCATTTGGGAGCATTGTGTGCATTTCAGAGGACACTTAACATTTTAGCTGGGCACACATCCCCACCACCCTCCAACAGCTAATGTGGCTTGCCTAGAAAGAAGGCACGTTTGCATGTGTAGAACAATCCATGGCCATTTTAGATGGCTGCACGTTGTATGGGAAGCCTTAGGTTTGCTGGTCTCATTGATGAGGTGAGAAGTGTGGCATTTCAGGGTTAACGTTTACTTCGAAAGGTTACAACACTAGTACACAGGCTCAAAATGTCATACATTAACATCTGCTTTTTGAGAGAAATATTAACAATTTTGAAATGAAATTTAAACATGTTTACTCTTTCCTCACAAAAAACATCAGTAATGGAGGGGAACTTAACAAGCAACAATAAAAAAGGTAAAAACAACGTTTCAGTAGTCCTCTGGGAGTGAAGATAGAATTTCCACTTTCCACTTGTTGGAGGAAAAAACTTATTTGGTCCAATAGTTTCAAAGGTTTTAGTATCTGCTTCGGCCTCCACCTCTATCAGAGCGGCTCCCTCCACGGCCGCCACCTCTGGGTGCTCCGCGGCTTGAGCTGCTGTATGAATCACGTGGAGGAGGATAGCCCCTTTCCATGGAAGGGGGAAGGCCTCTGTCCTGTCTTCCAACACGATCACGGCCACTTGAGTAGACATCACTTCTGCTGCTTGAGTAACTGTCTCGACTTCCACCATACCCATCTCGGGTGCTCCCGTAATCGTCATAGCGACTGCTTCCACCATAAGATGGAGGGGGCCCTCGTGCAGGTGGAGCACTACGTGAGTTACCTGCAGGTTCAATGGTCAGGTAATAGGGCAACACTATAAATCATATCACCACAATTTTACATCTGAGTTTAAATCAATGGCTTCTGTTACTCTTTTGTATTAACTTAGATGTTTTAATATAATCTCACATGTTGGGACATTTGGCAGGGGTGTATCGGGCAGTGAATGAAATAAAAAGGCTGTTTGAAGATGCTGGTTTTTCTCAAGGCAGCTCTTTTTGGGTTATTCCAGAACAGCTTGCTATTTTACAGAAGAAACTCAGCCATTTTTTTCCAGTGATAGATGCAATTCAGAACTGTTGAACTTTGCTTCGTTAGGTTATGGGAACTGTAATTCAATTCAATTGTTAAAATAAAATAGACATTTTTTCACTGTGGCGGGCAAGTTGAGCATACCCATTTCCCACTCATGCAGAAACAGACTATCAAGCCAAAAATGAACTCTATTAACTCCTTAAGACCCTCAAAATAACCACTTACCATAACTCTCATACGAATCTCTGTAAGAGCCTCCACTTGGGTGATCGGAGTAGTCCCGGTCACGCCCTCCGTAGCCATCACGATCACTGTAAGAGGAATAACTGCTAGGATTTAGTACAGGTAGTAATCAGCTACGGGCAGCATAAAAATTTAACACACACACACATACACCGTCTGCAGCACAGTCTATTCTCCCTCAGAGGCTCCTGGACAGGGTCTCCCTTCTATGAACATCCTTGCTCCCAATACCCTATTGTAACTCAGTCCAGGTATGCATAAGTGAAACCACTGCATATTTGCAATTACCCCTACCCTCCATTTTGTTCTTTCCTTCATTCCATGTACACATTCCATGTACAATCTTAGGGGATTGTTAATCCCCTAAGAACCCAACAAACCTGTTTCTTCAGAAGCACGTATGTAAATTGAAACAGTCTCGCCTTAGCTGTTGTAGAAGTTGAACCTTCAAGGAATTAAGTTTTTATAAGTGCTTTTGCAGAACTAACGTACCATTCTGGTATGAACCACCATCTGGATTTATTTGCATTGCTATCCTATCATTTTTTTCTGCTGTTGTAGAGTCCAACAGTCAATTCAATGGAAGGACAGATTATATGATTAATGGAATGTGATTTGTTTCAGAAAACAAACAGCAGAACACTAGGTACCTGTAACCTCTGGAGGGGTACTCATCACGTGAACTGGAATGGCCATAATCACGGTAGGCATAATCTCTCGGAGGTGGAGCATAATCCCGTGTGTCTCTAGAACTTGGATAGTCCCGACTTGAATAGCTATGGAGAGATTAAGATCAAATTACTTATGCTATGGGAAAGAGCAATGACAGAAAACGCCAATCAGTTGTAGGTCTTTAATCCAAAAATATTCAAAAGAATTTGATGTTACCTGTCTTTAGTGCTATAACCGTCATCTCTAGGAGACAAGTAGACATCTCTTCGTGATGGCAGTGGCTCTCTGCGTGGAGGTCCTCCATAACTATCTCTGCCACGTGACAGGGGCGCTTAAGTCAAGCACAAAATGAAATATTCTAAACATACTCTCTCAGAACATGGGAATGTCAGGTAAGATCAACTGTTTTTGTGACAATGCACAATAATGTACCCTTTACAATTATATTGATATTTAAACATGCTGCACGTCATTTTTTTTAATGGCACACAGCGAGGAAGGAAAAGATGATGTGAACTTGGGAGCTACTCACTCAAAGGCCCTAAAGACTATTAACAATGAATTCTACGTCAGGAATCCACAAATAGTTCATTTTGACAAGCACAATTCTAATGCCTATTGCAGCTCAAGATGACGACAAAACTGTGCTGCTGGAGGTTTGTGAAAGCACAAAGTAATTTCACAGCTTCTGAATGCCCAGACTACAGGGACAAGCCCTAGGACCTCCCCATAATTTAGAGGGGCCCAAATCAGCAGTGACTACAGCTACTCAAATTCTGTGGAACTGAATAACTTGGGTACCTGAGCACCTCTGTCCATACTTGCCCTCCCACCCTCTAAGATCGGCGGCAGAGGCCCTTCTCCGGGAACCCTCCGTGAAGGAAATTAGGTGGGTGAGAACCCGGAGGAGGGCCTTCTCTGTGGTGGCACCCCATCTGTGGAATGTGCTCCCCAGAGAGGTCCGCCTGGCCCCATCATTATTTGCTTTTCGGTGCCAGGCCAAGACCTTTTTATTTAAATGTTATTTTAATTGATTGTTAAATTATTTATTGCTTTTAACTAACTCTGGGATGTTTCCAATTCTGTCTATTTTTGTATATTGTTATTTATTTGATTGGAAGCCGCCCTGAGGCTTATGCGAATGGGGTGGCATACAAGCACTCCAAATAAATACATGAATGAATGAATGATGGATAGATGAAAGAAACAGCAGAAATGTTATTACACTATGTCTGTCAGTTGTTTTCCATTAAAGAGTTTGAAAAAAAACCCCCCAAACTCTTACCTCTCCCACCCATTCCACTACTGCTGCGCACAGGTCCTGAAGGTGCAGGTCGCTTAGGTGGTGGGCCCCCACTACGTGGAGGTGGACCCCTTTTCATTGGGAGGGGCCCTCTAGAAGAACCTAGAACAGTAGTGAATGTGTCAGCTACACAGCACACTTATTTTCAGTGACTAAAGTGGAAATGAATTTCAGTCCATCAGAAGTGAAAATCAAGTAGAAATGACATGCCTCAGAAAGAATGGCCTCACTGTGAGCTTCCCACACTACTGTGGAAAGCGAACAGGCAGCTCATTTAACTGGCAAGATGCACATGGAAAACTCTTACACTACCAACTTTCTGTTTTGCTTCCATTTTACTGGATCGAAACAGTTGATAGGAAAATAAAGTAATAACCTAGTAAATTAGTAACACAAGAGAAGAATGGAATTACTCGTTAATAACCTGAAACATGTGCTGCTAAACTTTGTAATGCATGCCTGGCACTTCAGAGACTACCACTTTTTGACATTATTTGTTGAACTATTAATCTTTTCCATTGGTCTGCTATGTGCAGTGAAGCATTTGACAACACTACATTTCTCAATTTATCTCAAACAACTCATCTACAATCCAGGATTCAGGCATGCAACATCAGACTGGAAGTTGCACGTAAAAATGGACAAACTAACATCAGAAGCAAACTCAAATCGCTCCTTTATCATCTAAATTCAAAAAGCCCCACAGTAATGTGATAGAGAACTCACTTTGATGTGGAGCATTAAAAAATGAATAAAGCAGGAATACTGCATTAATTTCTCAGACTTGCATAAGAAAGCAAATGATGAATGCTGACTTCAGTACTCCAGACTTTTTTTGCTCCTATAACTACACACCAGATCATTATAAACTGTATAAACTACTTTACAAAACACTGAAGAACATTTGCCCATAAAGTAGCTGGTCAGGAAATTTTACATGAGGCTATGTAATTCCTACTTTTAAGCAAGTCTGCAATATTGCTAACAATCTATGTACAAGAATACTGAACTCAAGAACAGTGTTTACCAGCTTAAGTGAAGAAACATTTCTAAGAACTCAAAAAAGATCCTCCCACAAAAATACAACTTCTATTATGCTTTTTTTTATTTTTGAAGCCCAGTTCTATTTTTTTAAAGTGAAACTGATGTTACTAGCATGCTATCAAGCACATTATAGAGGATGCTTTGCATGTTGCCTAATTACATGTGGGAATACAGACATACCCAAGTGACTCCCTCGTGAAGGAGGCCCCCGTGTTCCACTTCCGCCTCTTCCACCTCGAAGACCTCTTGGAGGACCTCGGCTCCGTGGAGGGGGTGGGGGCCCACGTCTACCGGTTTCAAAGGATGGCTTGGTAGCTTGTTCAACTTTAATGGCTTTTCCATCTAAAGACTAAACAAAGGAATCTAACAGTGTTCAAGGCAAATGCTTGGCTTTAGGATAAATGGTCATTCTATGCTTCTCATGGCAATTATGCTTGTAGCACAAGGGTTAAAAACTTAAGGGCTCTTAAGGTACAATGTGCAAGTTTCTGAACTGAAATATTTCCAAAATGATATTAGCAGTTCCTAAAGATGAACAGTAGATAAATTATATGGGGCATTTCATAGGGCCAAACTATCAGTACAGCCTGCTTTTATAAGGTGCTCCATGACATTTTTAGACTGCCATCTTTCAAGGCTCTTCACCACAATTTTTGAAGCAATGCAAAAAAACAAACAAAAAAAACAACAAAAAAACAAACAAACAAAAACAAAACAAAACCCAGTAACAGTAACTTTGTCATGAATATTACCTCTCCTTGTTGATTTTTATATTGAATTGCCTTAGGAGTTAAAGCTTAAAGGCAATAGACTCTGGGCTAAACATGGGTGTTATTTTGAATACACATTTTTTGACTGGGAGCTGCCATGCCACCTGAAGTTATTGCAAGATTAAACAGTCCTCATTTAACTTACAGTTGCAACTCCCCATGCATGGCCTGCATATTCAAAATAATGCCCAGTACCAGCTACAGTTCATCATGGGCTGAACAAGCCACAGTGTGCTTGGCAATGAGCTACACTAGGGGTGAGCAGAAGACAGGACAGAATGCAACAGTCTATCTTCGGGTGATATGAAATAGATTCCACCCCTCCAAATGACTCCCAGCTGTCATACTAACCCATTTAAACAAAAAAATTGGGGACAGGAACCAATTTTTATAAGAAAGGAATATGCACTAGGGTTTTTTTTCTGGCACTCGACAGATTTCTTTAAATTCAAGTGTACGTAATTTGCACTTTAACCAGCTGGTCACTCAATTCACAGGGCATAAAATGCTTACATTGTATTTAGTTATCTCACATTTACCTTGAGTTACCGTATTTTACTGATTTTTATTCTACTGGAAGTAGTACTTGTTAACTACATTACTGCAGTACTATTATTTCATTCACCTTTCAACATTTCCATGTTCACAAAAGAGAACACAGACATTTTCGAAGAATAACTAATTAAGTTATTATAATCATGTAATACTTATGATCTGTCCAACTCCAACAGTACTTCGGGTCAGTACTATGTCAGGTCTAACAGCAGTTTAAGGAATGTTCTTATAACCACATTTGAGGGAAAACTATCAGGAACAGACTATCTCAATTTGGTCTTTACTTTAGAGCTCTGATGTGGACCACAGAATTGTCCATTTTCCATAGCAAAATTTCTACTTCATTAGTAAAAATAAATGAAAGCTGACCACAAATGTAGTATGTGAACCTGGCAGTTTCAGCATTCTAATTAATGGTTTTCAGGTGAATACCATTAATAAATATAGAATACATAAATCTAACTGACAAACTTATGTCTCAGAGTGAAATAGAACAGTGACATAAGAAACTGCACAACAACCTTAACAGAGAAGAGCTCAGCTGAAATAGATAAGTGGTTGTTAGCAACCCAAGGAACTGTGTGGGATATGCTAAAATTAGTGAGTTGATGGTTTTAAGTTTTTTCCCCTTAAAGTCAATATTAGAGAAATATCTCCTGTTGCTTACATTCAGTGCTTACAAATATTCCAATAAAATTTCTACATACCATTACATTTAAATCACATCAAGTATTCCTTACATTTTCCACTCAAATACTTGTGGTGTATCAGAAGTAATAAAAGTTCCTTTTGTTTTGTAAATGCAAAATACAAAACAAAACCCAAGCCTCAAGCAAGCAAAAATCAAAGTTCTCAAGGGTAGGGACAGACTGTTCGTGGCCTTCAAGATGTTTTGGTACAAAAAATGCCCATAACTGCCTTCAAGGTGCCGGAGTGTTTTCTGATGCAAGCCTAAAAATTTTATATGTAAATTCACTTAATCCGTGCTGGAAGTTTCCAATTCAAAACTTCCAGTAAGTCCATATCAGTGTTCCACAAATTATCCAGGCTTCCACTTTTTTCCCCCACTGTATTTCCTTCATTAATTAAAAAAAAAAAATCCTACTATACTAGCCAACCTCTTTCAGTCTGGCAGGTGACAACAGCAAGCCAACATGTTAGTCCCTACCTTTCCATTCATATCTCTGGCAGCATCCTTGGCATCTGCTGGGCTCTCAAAGGTGACAAATGCAAATCCTCTTGACTTGTTGGTTTCACGGTCTTTCATAAGAAGAACTAAAGAGACAGCAAACTGTCATGCCACTTGTTCTTTATGTATTTGCATTTCTCAGATTTAATAAAGCCTGCTCAGCACTTCTTAGAGGACATATAAGCTCTATCACTTCAGCAGATCAAAGCTATTGGTTCATCACAGCAGACCTTTTAACTTTGACACCCACCACTTAAGGGAGCAATCATATGCATGCTTAGACAGGAAAAAGTCCTACACGCATAGGATTGTGCTTCATGATGCTTTCTGCTTACCTTCCACAATGCGACCATATTTGCCAAAGACAGATTCAAGAGCCTTCTCATTGGTCTCTGTGTTCAGGCCACCAATGAACAGCTTCCCAGGCCGATCGGCTTCAACCATTTTGACACTGTTTAGGATCTGCAACAATAAGCATTCAAACCCAAACTATAGGAAGGTGCTTCCATAAGTATTAAACTTTACAAAGTCCTTTATTTGTTGCATAGAGACCTATCTGAATGCTATGATGCTGCTAAAAGAAATGGCTGGGAAGTAGTTTTAGAATATACCCTTTAAAGTACTTTAGGTAAGTATTCCAAGGGTTCTAACTCTACACAAGTCCATACTAGGATCCAACATCAGATTTTGATGTATCACTTGACTGCTGCTGTGTGTCTCTAATCTATTACCTTAACAATTAATCAGCTATAGCTGCACTGTCTGATGTCAAAGGCCTTCCTAAAAACACAGCTAGCCTAGGAATGGTCCCCAAGTGTTCCAACACATTATCATTCTGCTCCAATTCAAAGAAATAGCAACACGCCTCGCCTGCTATGTGCAGGCAAATTAGGCAGTACTATTGTGATCCAGAGCAACTCTTTCAGGGAGAACATATCCCCGACCCCTTTGACTGGAGTGCAGAACCTCTTTCAGCCCCAGGGATAAATTCCATGTCTGAGAAGCTTTCCAGAATCATAATCTTGTGCTGGGCAAGACTAATGACAAATGGGATGAGGACAGAAGCCAAAAAAACAAACAAACACCACCATCAAGAATACTCACAAATTTTAGTTTAAGTTTCTTATTGCTAAATAAGCAAATCTTAGAAGACACTGAAACCTTTCTGAATGGGAAAAAAGCACAAAACCTATGAAGCCAGCAAACATCAGTTGCTGAGAGAAAAAAGAGCAACAACCTGGGACAAAGGTCTAGACTTGGCCCTGGGCATGAGGTTCTGTACTACAGCCCTAGGAAGTTTTTCCTAATGAACCTATCAAGGTAGGTAAGTGCTACCATACCGTAAACTGTACCACAGAAATATACTGTAGTCTCTCACCCAGTTTTCAGTATCAGTTTTTCTAGAAAAGAATCCTGAAGAAAATTCACTATCAGCATATTACCCACTGAATCAAACAGATCAACAATTTTAAGCTTGCTGTACCCATGCTGTTTGTTCTGCAAGTATAAGCTTGAGATCAGAATCAGAATACTGCACAGTAAAGTCTGTCATTGTTTGCACCAAAATAGCACGCTGCACCATGTTCAAAGAAAGCTGGGGGGGGGGACTGTAGATGTCCAAACAACAGTGCTTAAGAGGGTGGGCATTCCAGGCTGGAAACCAAGGCCGGAAATGCCAAGCCCTACTTATATCCTATCAAGGTAGCTTACAGAATCTATACGCCATTTTATCCTCAAGAGATGCCCTGTGAGGTAGGTTCGGTTGAGTCAGTAAATGGCCCTAAGTCACTCAATGAGCCTAACGACTGCCCTAGTCACATCTCAAGTTAGCAGGCCCCCATGGCGTTTTCCCTGCAGACTTAAGTTTTCTCCTTTATTATAAGAAAAGCAGAACAGGCAAAAAGCGAAGTTAACAAGGAATAGTAACCCGAAGCCACAAGACTAGGAATCTGCGTACCATCCCATGAGACCCGAAATATAGACCAAGACCAACGGGTGAAGAGCCGCGCATGCGCGGACGGCGAATGCCGGGTGGGTCTCCGACGCGCGGGAGACGCTTGATGGAGAACAGCGCATGCGCAGGAGCTCGTGCCTGCTTGCTTCCCCCACCCTCGGCGGACCCCTCGCGCGCGCCTCAGGGGAGGAGCGGGAATGGGAAGAATAAAGGAGCGCCTCAAGGCAGTGGCAAAATGGCGGCGCCAGCGACCCTCCCGCCTGCTCTGACTTTCCGCTTCGGAGACTCCCGCCCTCACCAGGAGATCGGGGGGGGGGACTAACAGGGCGGCGACCCCCGCCATCTCGCGCTTCCCCCATGAAGCCCACACCGCCTCGTCCTACACGGCTTACAATGACGACGACGCGGTTCTCAGAGGAAAGCCGCTGAGAGAGGGTGTGGGGGGAGGCCAGCCAGTAAATTCAAAAAATCCAGAATATAAACTTGCCAAAAAACGCCCCCGAGGAACAAAAGAAAGGGGAACGTTTCACCCCAGCGGATTCCCATGAAGAATGTTTCTTACACCCACCCGCCCAAAATCCCTCACGCGCGGCCACACTTCGCACACCTACCCGTCCCCGCCGATAGAAGAGCAACGACGCACTGAGGAGGAACAAAGGGGCTGAGGCCTTTATATAGCTGACGTCAGCACGTTCCAACGGGGCTTAGAGTCCCGGATGAAAGCGTGAAAAAGAACGGGGGGAGGGGCGCATAATTAGAGGAGGGGGATCTTGTAATCCGCCCTTGGGAACATGGCTGAAGGGCGGTGTGTAGATCTGTGAATTAGGACCGAGCAAGAAAGCGGGCGGGTATTGAGGTATAGAAATAGCTGCAGTATTCACTTGCGGTGCAATCCTATGCATGCTTGGAGGTGCGGGGGGCGGGGCAAGGGCCCACAAGTTTTGTAGGCTTTGAAGAAGTCCCAAACAGCCATGTTGGGGGAACGGATGGGAGATGGGGAACAAACCAGACAGGATGAAGAGAAGGATGAATGGGTTGCATTTTTTTTTTTTTTTTGCAGTGCTCTGAGTTGTAGTCCATGTTGGCTCTACTTAGAGTAGACCAATGGAAGGAATAGCTCTTAGCCCAGAATTGGGCAAAACCCATAGTTATTACAATAATAAAACGCCCAAGCACAAAACCATCATCATTCTTCACTCTAGTTTTTGCTCCTGTCTCTTCTCCGACCTTCAGACACAGAAAAGGCCTTTGTTTCTCCAACAACTCCTATTTCGACCCATGGGGTAGAAGCGGGCCGGATAGCAAATGCGAGAGCAAAGCCGGGCAACGTGCCCTCAACGAAGATGGCGCCAGGTGCCTCAAGCACGTTCTGACCATGTGGGCGGCTGACTCGCTGGACGAGCCCCTCATCCCCAGCCGTTTTCCCCGCGCGGCGGCGGCGAGGCGGGCAAGCCGCCCGTATCCAAGATGGCGCCGTGAGCCTCAGTCGCGCGCAGTCACGAGAGCGGCTGAGGCCGCGAGGGCGCGAGCCAGGCCCGGCCGGTCGGTCGCGCGGGGCGCTTGTGACGCGGCCCGAGGCGGAAGTTCTGCGCGCCCGCCTGGCCGAGCGAAGTGCGGTGCGCAGGAGCCACGATGGCGAGGCCGCCCTCCGCGCTGCTGGCGCTGGCGCTGCTGCTGGGCGGCCCGGCGACTCGCGGCGGCGGCGCCTTCTACTTGCCCGGCTTGGCGCCCGTCAGCTTTTGCGAGTCCTCGGAGGCGCAGCCGGAGGAGGGCAAGCCCGGGTGCCAGGTGGGTAAGCGCCCGGAGGGGAGGCGGCGCCATGCGCCGCGTTTACCCGCAAGTAAATCCGGCTGCACTCAGCGGGCCTCGCTTCCAAGGAGACGCGGCTCGATCGGGGATGGGGGGCACGAGCGGCCGCTTCCCTCTCAGTAAGGGTACCCCAAATACCCTCGGGAATCCTACCCCCGCCTTGCCCCTTTCTAAGGAAGACGCGGTTTTCCCTCCTTGCATTCGATCCGCACAACAACCCTGTGAGGTCGGCACTTCTGGGCGTCACGGACTAGCCCACCTTGCTGGCCGAGGGGGTACTCCAACCAGTGCTCCGCCACAGTGGCTCTCTCCAGTTTGCCCCAGTACAGCAGGGTTCTAATCATTACAGCACCCTGGGGTGCTGCCCGTTTGCATCCCCATTTCTTCTCTGAAATTCTTCTGAGAAGCTTGTTTTTGAAAAAGGAAGGAGAAACCGCGCAGAAATGGTCAGGGTACGCCTATGCTAAAGCCTCATTCTGCATCTTTTTTATAATACCACTTAAATATAAAGGAGCCTTGAGATCTCTTGTTCGAACATGACCCCCAAATAATTGGTTGGAAGACAATTTACATCTATATCATTATGCTTTGTATGAAGATAAAACAATACTTGCAGATCTTCCGTCTTCCTTATTCAAGGAGTACCTTTTAATTAATGCGTAACTACCCCTGCTGTTTTACGGAAAACGGTATCTTTTAATTACTGTACTGTGTTGCCCGATTGCCATAAATACTTACTCACCAGTAAACTTCCTAGTTCAGAGTTCAGTAAGTCATCTGCCTTCAATGCCCATCCTTTTCCTAGGCAATCCAAAGTTCTTGGTTAAATATTCCTCTTGCCCGTAACGACTGTATTTGCTGAATTTTTTGCTGTATTTTTACAGAAGCAATGAAAAGGAGTCACGGTGCACAGGTGTCTGGAGGAAGCTGTCACTTTTTTTCTTTTTCAGGTTTTTTTGTTTTCTTTCTCCCACTGGTACTTCAGTTTCACAGAAAAGACTCACTTCAGTGCTAAGATTTATGTTCAGATGACCCAATTTTCTGAGCTGGGGTTAGTTTGAAGAAGCTGCTGTCTTGTACTGGCTAGAAGTTACTAAGGAAATGCACAAGCAGAAGACAGAGTCTTATGTCATGTGTGCCTATCCAGTGATAGTGAAGACTGTGTTGGAGTGGGGAGCACCTTGCTAGAAAATTGTGATGCCGATAGGATCGAGAATTTCTGAGTGGTTTTAATGAGACTTGGGTGTTGCCTGTGGAGTTATAGTTTAAGAAGACTGAGTATCCGGTTGTTTGTTAACACAATTTAAAGGTGTCAGGGAAGTATTGAACAGAGGTTTTCTGGCACTGCAGCGTGATAAGCAGGTTTTCTCTGTTTTAAAATATTTTTTGTGTTTCATGGTTCTATAGTACAATATCTTGATTTTATGTTTTTCTGTGTACAGTTTCATTGCTAAACTGTGGATATAAGATGATTTAATTTAAGCTACTTTTTAGTGATCCCATGTGTAGGATAATTAGCATGCTCCTTAGGCACCCTTAACTTTTGTGAGGATAGGCCAGTAAAACAAACTCTTGTTGCCCTGAGAGGATGTTGTAAAGTATTGGACTTAGATCATAGTTCCATGCAGAAGTAGCTACATACACTGATGGTCTCACCTAAGAAGGCTCATTGGATGTAAGACTCTAAGATTCTAGTGGGACTTGCTTTCGATTAAGAGAGACATCTGTGCATCCCAGGAAGAGTGTCTTGGGGACCACAGGATGGCTTGCAAATTCCCTCCAAGTGCTCTGATCCTGGAGCGGGGAGTCAAAGATCAGACTCCAGATTCCTTCTCCTCAATGCAGATGAAAAACGTGAGTTTGGTGGGACATGTATCTGACTCAACATGGTAGAATTGCGTTGTTGATTGTAGAACAGTTAAGGGTGCAGAATGCTTTCATTCTCTTCTTTCATGGGTTAAACAGAAAACTGCCCTATTCAGTATCAAGTGCTTAAACAAGTTTTCTTTTCTTCTAGTCAAACATCCAGCTGTTCGTGAACAGATTGGACTCAGTTGAATCAGTCCTGCCGTATGAGTATGATGCGTGAGTATATCCCAGTACTAGATAAAGGTGCTTATAGTTTCCCCCAGACTACATGTTTAATCAAACTGGCTTTGGTTTACACAGCCTGAGAATGTTCAGATGACTTTATTGGTTGCAAAATGACAATGGTGAGGAGGGGAAAGGAATTCTGGTCAGATGCTGCTTCACCAGAATTCCTGCGAGCCCAGCCAGTAGGCTGAGATGCTAGAGTTGCCATTCCTATAATTCGGGGGGGGGGCATGTGTCCCCCACCACTCCTGTGAGGTATGAGTAAGAGATAGAAGCAAAAGTGAAATTAGGAAGGTTCAGAAGTCTCATATTATTGAACAAATCATGGTTTGAAACCCTGGTTTAGCCAGTATGATTGGTTTGCATTTGATCATGTAAGCTGTTCTTTGGGATGCTGCTTTTCCCTTGGAGGCCACAGCTTGGGAAGGGATTCACATGGAAGATAAATGAAGAAGGAAACTGTGCAAATGTTGATTTACTTGTATAGTTGAGACAGACATCTGTGGTTTGGAATCAAAACGGCAGGCTGTGCAAATCATGTTTTGGAACTGGCTGTGTCTGCACGGCCTGCAAGTAGATGTCACCGTTTCGCTTGTTGGTGGATCAGCCACATGGTGCCTGAGGAAGGATCAGATTCACCATGGCCTGTTCTGCCCCTCCTTTCCCCTTGGTCCTTCAGCGGTGCTGCTCCTGGCAGAGCCTGTTGAAGGGATTGGACCAGAGAACTGGCACAAATTAGCTTGTGGGCAGTTTCATCTTGTCAGTTTCCATCTATGTTCCCTACTCCAAGTCACCTGTGCTTTTGTCAGCCTAGGGAATTGACCAGGTAACACTATATACATCAGATCCCAACCACAGTTGTGTAAGACTGACAAAAAGGAAGCACCAGTGCAGTATTGGACTGAGATT